TTTGTAATATTAAACCATATGGAAAATAATGAAAAAATAATTAATAAATAGTGATTATCTACCCATCAACAATTCACTCAATTCTCCAACTTTAATTTTATCAACTAATTATTATTATTATTACTATTATCACTGTAATTAATTAATAAACAATCATATTTAAATTAATCAATCAATTAACTAACTATTTAATTTACCTTATTAAATTATATTTCATAATTTAATAAGCTATCATTACTTAAATTCAATTTAGCAAATTCATTATTTAATATTCTACTTGTATTATATGCTAATGGATGTGGTTTGTGAATTTGTTGTGAATTACTATTATTACCACCACCACCACCAATATTATTACTACTTTCATTAAAATTTTCAGTTTTAAATTTATCAAAGCAAAATCCCAAAGCTCTCCAATAGTGCCAAGAAAACAAGAATGCTGTTGAAATCATGTGACCAGATGTCCAAGTACTGAAAAGGCTCTGTAAGTGTAGACTAATGCACTTTTCACAATATTTATCAGAGTATCTTATTGTTTTACAATTATTGCATTCTCTTGGTTCAGCAAATTTATAAGTTGCATTATTTAATTTGAAATTATAAACATACCTTTTAGTGTTCCATGTCGCAATCCAAAAAAGGAAACCAAAGTGGTCGCAAAGGTGGTTGCAACCAGGCGTCGCAAACCATTTTTATATGTCGCAAATATGGTTGCAACCATCATCAAGAATTGCAACCAGCATCTATAATACCTTTCTCTACAATATTCCTTTCATTTTCTAATAGCTCTTTGTTTTGACTAATTGTAAAAAATAACTTTTATTATTTTCTCTGTCAGAAATACCTGGAAATGCAGAATGAGCAATTGTTTTAATTATTTATCAGTGATGTTATTAAATATAAGTTAAAATAAAAGAGAAATTTATATACATAAATAAATAATAAATATAACTATTGAATAATTGATAAAACGTTTGTTAGAATATTTTGTTCATAGATATTATGCAAACTATTGAATAATTAATAAACGTTATTAGTATATTTTGTTCATAGATCTTGTCCTTAATGCTTACTTTTGATCACTCCTATACAAACTATTGATAATTAACAAAATGCTCATTAGTATATTTTGCAAGCTTCATAGACCTTGCCCTTAATGCTTACTTTGATCACTCCTACACAAACTATTGAATAATTAATTCTATAACAGACATTCTTCCAAGGCCAAATGGTCCGCTATATAGAGAAAGTGAACTGTATAAGGTTTGAGAGGTGTGATTGACTTGACGATTTCATAGTCAATGGTTCCAATTAAACTTTTTGAACATCTAATCATATGACACACAGCCATTTTTTTATCCGGATCAATTAAAATATACGGAAACTCATACTCTCTTTTTTACATTAAAGTTCTCTCATTTTTAGCCAAAAAATAAAATCGGGAGTTGAATTGGTATATATTTTACAAATAATCGGAATACTCTTTTCAAACATACAATGAATGTTATCTTTTTATTATTATTATGTAGGTTGCATGTTCTGATGATTAAATGATCTCAAGGTCAATTGCTTTGATGCCCCAATATTTTCTTTTATGGTTTAATATCACAAAAAAATAAATTTTTTTTTCAATCTTTGTTGGTCATAATGTATTTACAACATTCTAATATTAATTTGACCTTTAAAGTGATTCCGAAAGTGAAAGCAAATTATACCAAACCACTGTGTTTTTAAAGAACATTCCTGAAGATAGCAAATGATGTTACCAAGGAAAATGAAGAGCTAGCTAATATAAATTGGATTCTAGTATGCATTTCCCAAACAAGGATTTAAGCTTAGAAAGGGTAAGTCTGAAAAATTTGAAAAATGCATACGAAAACAAATTCTTGTTTGTAGTTGTGAAGGAGGTACCAATGAAATCAAACCATCTAAATAACAAATGAACAAACTCCTATAAAAAATAATCTAAATTAAAATGGTCTCATATATATCACTACATTTTATAATGAATATTTTGGATACTTACTTGATCAATCCACAAGAGGATTTGAGTCACATTTATCAAATCAATGTTAAATGATGCGTAGATGGACATTTAAAACCTCTTGCAATAAAATGATGAATATTAAAATTCGCATACAAAATTTATTATTTTTGTGTAAAGGTGCGCAAAAAAACAATAATTGGGGCATGCTGCAACAAAACCAGACAAAGTGAACATTGGTGTTATCAAGGATTTCGGGGATCAATAGTGTTTGTTCAATATCACAATTGTATTATAGTTGGCTCGGTCTAAAGACCTCCTAAATTTTGTGCAAATTTTAAAAGTATAGAAGTCATTTTCTGCCCTACCTTTTAAAAAAATAGCTCTATTAGTTGATGGAATAGGTCTTTAATTTTAATGTAATAAAGAGATTTTATCAAAAAAATTATTTGTTGTAGAGTTCTATTCTTTTTTAAAACATGTACTTTACTATGCTCATGAAGAATTTGAGCGCTAGGATCATTGCTAAATTTAGACTAGTTTTAGTTCATCGTTACTAAATTTAGACTAATACTCGACAATCATGTCTAAATTTGGCAGGAAGGAAAATAAATTTTTCAAATCACGCGAAGCCTTTTTGAAAAGTTTTTATTGCATTTTTGAACGAATCATGAAATCGCTATTTTTGAAATTTGAGCGTGTGGCGCAGCAGTAGGAGGTCTTTAGACCGAGCCAACCATATAATCTTTTAAAGAAATTTCAGGGGACTAAATTATAGTGACTAGTCATGAATTAAATTTTTAATATCTCCCACTAGTGAACCAAAAAAAAAATCACATCTGAATTCAAGGGTTGAAGTTTTATTTATAATTTTGTTTTGCAAATAAGATTGTAATTGTTCAAAAATAAAACCGGATCAAACATCTTTATTTTACTACAAAAACTACCATTTAATCATTTCAAATTTCTTTGATATTAAAAAAAAAAGATCTTTGAGCCTGTTGTGCGTGAAATTGGAATCTGCGTCGATTTGAAATTCACGCGCGTGAAATTCAAATTAACCAATCAGAATTTTGTATTCAAACACCACCCCAAAATTTAATTGGTAAATTTCAAATTGACACAAGCCAAAAAGAAAGAGAACATGACAAGAGTAAGTATTGTTTTTTTTAAAACGGTGGTTGTGCGCATTTTAGTCATTCTAGTTTGTAATATATCAATTATGAGAAAGATTAAAATCCGATTTTGTTACATGAAATACTCGAATTTTCAAAAAAAATGTGAGGGACAGCTGTCCTATTTATATGTTTTGGATTTAATAAATAGAGTACCGTCTTGGCCTGAGTGATGTCATTTTTTGCTCTTTGCGACAAAGAAGATGCAATCCCAAACCCGACAACTTAAAATAAATGAATTTTTGTTCTTGCGTAGCATGGTCTACATGATTGGTAACACAGCAAAAGCTCACATTGCGTTCTCAGTTGTGAGCTTGTTTATTTGTAACATTCATTTATTTCGCGTCGTTTTATTATTATTATTGTCTATGTCCTATATGTCCTATAATCACCCGGATAGATCGACAAGTTTATTAAGATTAATTTATATTATTGTTTATATTATTATTTACATTTATATTTATCAAATGTATTTCTTATAAAAAGGAAAGTTAATAAAGTAACTTGTAATTTTACAATAATTAAATTACTTAATTTGTTTAAATAAACCATTTAAACATTTGAACGTTTACACATTCATTAAAACATTTATATTTTATATTTTTATATAATGTCATATGCCAAATTATTATCATCGTTATCACTAGAGAGGAAGGAATTTGTATATAAAATTTACAATGAAATGCAAGATAATGCTAATGTTAATTCTAATAATGGAAATATAAAAGATTATTTTTTTTCATTAGTCAAGAAAAACAAGGAGCTTTCTGATGATGAAAAAGAATATTGTAAGGAAAGGTTTATTTATCAGGTTGAATTAAGAAATGCAATATATAAATGGGGTAAACCAAAAAAATGTAACAAGTGTAAATTGACAAGATACTCTGATAGGTTCTGTGAAGGTTGTATTAGTTTACAATTGCAGAGCCTTTTCACCACTTGGACATCTGGAAATAACATAGTTGACAACTTTATTCAACAATGTCAAATGAAGTCTTCTCTACCACAGTATATTTTAGAATGGATACCTTTTGAGCAATTTAAAGAAGTAACAAAGTTGACAAAAGGTGGATTTAGTTCAATTTATACTGCTAGATGGACAAGAGGAACTATTATTGATTATGACGAAAATAAAAAAGAATTTAGTTATTTAGGAGAAGGGATGAAAGTAGTATTAAAAAGTTTAAATGATTCAAGTAGTCCAGGAAAAGGCTTTTTTGATGAGGTTGATAGTTTTCATTTAAAACAAAATAAACAATACTTTATTATATAATACTAATTGATTTTATTTCAATTTCAGGCAATAAATTATTCTAAAATTAAAGCATCACTGATTGTTCAGTGCTATGGTATAACCAAATTCCCAGATAATGGAAATTATGCAATTGTTTTAAATTATTTATCAGATGGAAGTTTAAGGGGCTATTTACAAAAAAATCATTTAAATTTAACATCAAAAGACAGAATTACAATATTTTATTATTTATGTTATGCATTAGATGAGATACATGAAAAAGATTTAATCCATTGTGATTTACATAGTGGTAATATATTAATAAGTGGAGATCGTTGCTTTATTACAGATTTGGGATTATGTGGACCAGTTGATGAAAAATCATCAGGTAAAGTCTATGGGATTGTATCATATGTTGCACCCGAGCTACTTAGAAGCAATAACACAAAGAACACCAAAGAAACAGATATCTATAGTGTTGGGATGTTAATGTGGGAAATATTTGCAGGTCATCCACCATTTGATGATAGAGCTCACAATCATCGTTTGACTTTTGATATATGTGAAGGTTTACGACCACCAATATTACCTGAAATACCTGATTATTATGCACAAATGATGCAGAGGTGTTGGGATGTGGATCCATCAAAAAGACCAACTAGTAGAGAGCTTTGGGAATTTGCTGATAATAAACGTGATAAAATTATTAAAAATAATAGTAACAACAATAGTTTAATAAAAAGATTATTCTTTTCTAAAATCAAAAAACATGATTCTAATAATGATGGTAGCAGCAGCAGTGATGGTATTAATAGTAATAATGATTCGAAACAAGCACACAAATCACATCCAGATTCATATCATAAAAGTAGAATATTGGATAAATTGGATGAAGAAATTGCTAAATCAAAAAGCTTAAGTTATACAAGTAATGATAGTTCATTGAATAATCTTGATTTTTTCTAAATGTTAACAAAGGCAAATAAAAATAATTAACTGGAACTTATTATCCATTAATTATTATTAACAATATTTTTTGATCGCATTAAATTCTAACAATTAAAAGAAAGAATTGATGAATGACTAATTTAATTACCACTATAAAAAATTTATTTATTATCTTTCTATTTGTCTTTTTATTTATCTTTATTTTATTTCTTAAAGCTAAATTATAAATAATGTTTTGAATAATAAACTTTTTGATTCTTGCTCAATTGTGGGTCATTTCGGTTAATCAACAATGATGGCCTGACTTTTGGGCTACTCTTGTCAGTTAATTAGTTTACAAATTTACTTTGGTCTCCTCTTTCTTGCACCTAGACGAATCTGTGAGCGCACTTAATGGTACCAGATAACTATAAATAAATAAAGATGGCCTTTTACAAAGCTCAATGGCTTCTATAAAGTTCCTTTTATTCACTTGTGATCGATTTCTTTGTTTGCATTTATTGAACTCGCTTTGGTTTACTTGCAAAACAACTCAAGTAGCTTGTTTAACAGCCATATGTTTACAATTACAGTAACACTACCAGTATTTCCTATTAGCCTTTGGACGATGCTTCATTAACACTCGCCAGTTAACCAACGCTAATCCTAACTTTTGCTTACTCACTAAAGCAAATCATGTTACGAATAGTTGTTAATACTCACTAGTTAACCAACGTTAAACCTAACCTTACTTGCTTGCTCACTAAAGCAAATAAACGTGGCTTTTTACCAAAGCTCCACAATTGTCATACTCGTTGTTTTTATCAAAGCGCTTTGAAAAATGAAAATAAAGACAATGTTTTTATTTAACGATTAATTTTATTTAATAAAATAATGATTCTATTAGAATGTTAATTATCCTCTGCGAGGACCTTAATGGAAATTTCATTGATCAATACAATAAGGATAAAGATTATTGCAAAGTAACTTAATCAATAAACATTGATATTATAAAAACTTCCATAATTATTTACACTAAAGTTATTTAACCCTGGAACATAAAGTATCGAATCCCTGATCGATGATTTTATCTAACCCGATCATGTATTCAGAAAAAACAAAGGAGAGATTGGGATACGCAAGAAAAATATAAAAAAGACCTTGGAATATATATTTACAAGTTTTTTTTGTAAGCTTTTATATTTTATTAGCCTTTAAAGCAATTTTACTTGCGTCATTTTTGACTTAATGGCAGCGAACTTGACGTAATAGTTTTACAACTTTGATAACATTTCGTCAAACAACATTACGCTCAAGATATATATACATATACACTAATACGCCAAAATATTGTTTCTCAATAAAATTCGGCACAAACCGAAAACAGGAGCTTTAACTTTAAAGATACCGAAAAGAAATCCATATTGGAATAGTATGAGGAAGGAGAATTTTATCATATTCATGATAAAATTATTTATGTATTTAATAATTCTTTTGATAAGGAAAGGTATAAAGGACTCCTTGAATATTATCTTAGTAATCTTAGTAATTAAGAACAAACAGACAGCATGTGGAAGAATTTTTGCTTGATTGATGAAAAATTTTGATCTACGTATAAATAATTTATGATTTTAAAAATTGACTTTCTACGTCAATTTATGTTATAATATATATAGAACAGACTGTAATCGTTATGAAAACTAAAGAAACAGGGGAATTAATAATCCAGTTTATTGGATATAAAGTTAATATTAATTATTTTGATGTATTAATTAATTACTGCGCATACACGGAATTAAACAAATTAATATCGACTTTGGATTTTTGAATTAGTATGTAATTATTTTATTTATAGCAGACAGTAATTGAATGATCTTTAACTTTGATGATATATACTATAATACAATATTATCTATCTTTTCATGGGTCAAATAAAAGGATCGTAAGCCAAAGAAAATCAAATTAATGTGAAAAAGTTCTTGATCAATCAATTGCTCAAATATTATGGAAAATACTAATATATATATATATAACTAATAATAATATAAATTAATAATAATAAGTCTATTTGTATTTTTTTTTTTTTTCAAAAACTATTTAAATTGTTCATTAATAAATATATAAATATAAATTTGTTTTGAAAAATTAAAGAAAGAAAGAAAAAGGATGATATAGGTATAGATGATATATAGTCATTATCATTATTCATTATTATCATCAATTCCATCTTTAACATTATAATGCTTAAATCTATTATCTTCAAAGCCTTCATTGTCATCATTCTCAGCACTACTGCGATGATGGCTACCTTTTCTTTTCCTACTTGTAGATCTTGAAGCTAATCTTTTACTAACAGCAACACCGTCATCATCATAATCATCATATTTTTCTTTTAACTTTTCTGGATCTGATGATGAATCTCTACTTGTTTGTTTTGGTGTTGTAGATCGACCTCTCCTTGGTGATAAAGAATCAATCGAGGCATCAAGATTACCATTTGATGATGATAATAAATTGTTATTTGTAGATAAAGAGGGCTGACTTAATGATGATGATACTGATTGTGATAATGATGTAGGCGCTGAAACAGTACCATTTCTTAAGGATTTTCTTGATGGATTGAAATGATTACAGTTTTTACAATAATATTGAACATCATCGTAATCAGCTGCAAAAGCCAAACCATTCCAAGTATAACAATCCTTACAAATTAAAGCATATTTTTGTTCATCTTCACCAACAATTGCATCAACTAATTTATCATACCAATAACGCTGCTGATTTTGTGAATTATTAAGTTGATTAATTAATGGTAATGATGTTGATCTAGGTAATTGTTGATCATTATTACTACCATTAATTCCACCATTGTTGTTGTTGTTGTTGTTTAATGGTGATGGTGGTGGTGGTGGTAAGCGTTGACGCAAAGAATTTGGTGTACCAGGTTTTAGACTACCAGGTGTCGTTGTTGTTAATGGATTTTTTTGACCAGGAGACATTGGCTGTTGATTTGTTGGAAGTCTTGTTGGTGAATCATATCTTTCTAACAAAGTTTTAGTTGTGTAATAACCAGTTTTCTTTTTCAATTCTTCCACTTTAAGACTTTGTTGGGCCCTTAAACTTTCAAGCTGAGATATTTCATTGGCTTCTTTTCTTCTATACCACAAAGCAAGAAACCTATAACCAATCACTATGAAAAAAGGCCCTGTTAAAACAGGCGCCACCTTCATAAAGTCCCAATTTTCTCCCTCATTAGACATGTAAATAAAGTACCAATATCCTATCACATATGCGATATATGCTAATAATGAATAGACTATCCAGATTATTAATGCATTACGCTCTCGTACTCTTATTTCACCCAGGGATATTTCTGCTTTACGAATGTTGTCATCAAGTTCTGATAATATTTTTTCATAATTATCATCCTTTTGTGACTTGAAACGAGAGACTACAATTCCCATGATTTTGTTATATTTATTATTATTATTATTATTAATAATATTTATGAAATTATTTATGAAATTCTTTTTTATTCAAAAAAGTGTTTGTTTCCATGTATATATATATATATTTGTACGTGCGGATACTTTCTTGATTTGGATTTATTTTCCTCAAATAATAAACAACTTGTAAAGAAATTCAAAGAAAAAAAAATTTTTTTTTCCCAAAGAAAAAAGATGTGATGATCTTCCTTTTTACAAATAATTGCGTCAGACGGTTACACGATTTTTATCAAAAAATTTAAATTTAAAAATAAAGTTTTTTTTTTTTCAAAATAAATCTCTTGCAACTTTTCTGGAATAGAAAAAAACAGTAAATAGTTGATTTCATATACATCTCTATTAAATCGTCACAAGAAAATATAATATAATATAATTTTCTCTTTCTTTTTTCTCTCCCTCCCTTTTTCTCTCTCTCTTATAAAGTCAACACCATCTTTCAACATGCCTCGACCAAAGAAAAACAACAGCACTCAAGAACAATCAGGCTTTAACAATAATGAAAAATATGCAAAGTATAATATTTTATTGAATAGCACCAAACGAATAGTCTATATTATCATCGTTGGTTATTTTTTTGTACATCTATTTCAATTACCTTATTTAAAATTTATGATTGTCCTATTAAATCTCACACACATGATTATTTTTCGTTATCTGCGTATATGCACGTCACCAAAAGCATGTTTTTTATTTAGTTTCTAATTTGATCGCCTTCTATTTATTATATTCTAAATTCTAGCCAAAGCAAATTAATTTATCTTAGAATATCAATCATTATCAATATATATAATATTTATTTAATGTTTTTATTGATTATTATAGGTTTAACACTAGTTGGTTTAATGAAGCGATGACCAGGGAACACAATAAATATTGCACAAGTGCACTCAAAATATTAAAACGTCACCCGTCTGCTGCACCTTTCCTAGAACCTGTAGATCCGATTAAACTTAATATTCCTGATTATCCTGATATTGTAAAAACGCCAATGGACTTTAGTACAGTTGAAAAAAAACTTAACGGTTATGATTACAAATGTGTCCATGATTTTATAAATGACGTTCGGCTCATATTCTCAAATTGTATCGATTATAATGGTGAACGACATCCGTTTTCAAAATTCATTAAAGATTTAGAAGAAATATTCACCGCACAACTTTCTAAAATGCCTGGTGCTAAAATTACCACTGTTGATAAGCCTGCTCCAGTAATTAAAGAAGAGGTAAATTTAATAATTTACGTATAAATAAAAAAAGTATATATATTTACATCAATTTATTTATTAATTTATACTAATGTAACTTATTTTTGATCTAATTAACAATCAACACAATTAATAATTAATGACTAGAAACCAGCACCTAAACCTGTTGCAGAATCTTCTACTAAATCAACAAACAAACCAATAAGCAAACAAACCGTCAAATCCACTATGGAAGCTGCGTCCTCTTCCTCTGCAGCTTCTTCTTCCGCTGTAAAAGCCGAAAATAATGAAGCGAATAGACCAAGAAGAATGATCAAGTTCCCTAATAAAGAACTTCCTCAAATCACTCAACCATCCCGTCGTAAAAAAACCAAGAAAAATATCGACCTTAAATTCTGTCGCTCAGTGTATCTGGAATTGAAAAAACGACAACACTCTGCATATGCTTACCCGTTCTATGAGCCGGTTGACGCTGAGAAATTGGGCATTCCTGAATATCCTAACATAATCAAAAACCCCATGGATCTCTCCACAATTTATAATAAATTGGAAAAAGAAGAATACACTTCTGCAGAAGAGTTTGAAGCAGACATTCGATTAATGTTTGACAACTGTTACAAATTCAATGCTCCTGGTACTGATGTTTATAACATGGGTAAACAACTAGAAAAGGTTTTTGATAAAAAATGGGCAGAGAGACCAATTCCACAGCTTTCTCCAACTGTTCGGGAGGGAATCAAGGAAGAAGAAGAATCTGCCTCAGACAAAGAAAGCGAACAAGGTATTATTTACATCATAAAAAATAATTATTGATGTTATACAAATAACTAAATAATATATTAATAAGAATCTTTTTTCATTTCTATTCAGCTAAACATTTGAAAGCTTTGCAAAAACATCTTGCTGCTTTATCATCCCAACTGAATCAATATAGAAAATCAGGAAAAACTAAAAACAAAAAACCTACTAAAAAGCTTACTAAAAAACCCACTAAATCCAAATCCAAGTCTGATGCTGATGCATTGACTGATGCAATGCCAAAAGCAAAACGTCGACGAATTTCAAAAGCTGAGATTGAGACCATTGTTAAAGAAGATGATGATAAGGAACTTACTGCCGATCAAAAGGCCCTTCTTTCTAAAAGGATTGAATATCTTCCTCAAGAACTCATGGTTACGCTCATTAGTATGATACAACAGAGTGGAGCAACGTTGATGCCTGAAGAAGGTGGTTACGAGTTAGAAATTGAGTCTATTGACACTAAAACTGCTAAAAAAATTTATAATTTTGTAATGGCAAATACTTCCGAACCAAATGGTCGTAAAAAACGAAAAATACCTGCTAAAAGAAAAAACCAGATAAGTGAAGAAGAACAAATAAAAGCTTTGGAAGAAACTTTGGCTAAATTTGACAACAAATCCATAACCTCTAACGGTATATTTATTTTTTTTTTTCTCAAAAAAAAAAAAGGTTCTATTAAACTTATTTATATTTTATTTAATTCAGCTAATATAGAGGCAAATGATAGTTCTGATGATGATTCTTCGGATAGCCAAAGCTCGGCATCTTCTGGTTCCGAGTCTTCGGGTAGTGATACAGTTTAGAATAATTCAATCTGCACCCCCAAATGATTTTATAATTATTATTTTATGCAAAAAACAAATCAATGTTTTAATTAATAGTAGTTAATTCAAGATTTTAGCATTAATGTATATAAATATTATGTATATATTTTTTTTTCACTTTAATTTTTCCACCCCCTTTTTTAAAATATTAGAAACAAGGAGAGTTATTAGATTTACAGAAGGAAAGATGATAAATTTGGTGTTTTTGGAAATTAATCATTTAAAGAATTCTGGTTAATCTTTTTTACTATTTTCAAATTATAAATAAATAACTTTGGGGGTTGCTAATGAGATCATAAAATTTTGACAATGACCGATTAATTTTGCGGTTTAAAGATTTTTAAATTATTATTTAATTGTCTGTCAATTTAAAAAAATAAAATCAAATATTATTTATCATCAAAACTTTTCAACAACGGCAGGCTAAATATTAATTCATCAATTAATCAATCTATTAATATAGTAAGTAGTTTCAAGCTCTTCAGGTAAAGGAGTTAGGAATAAAGGAAATAAATCACATACATAATGTGTATATAATGTTGATTGTGGAAAGATTACTATTACTATTAATCAAGTAGAAACATAATTTACATATTTGTTAATGAGCCTTCGAGACAGGTAAACCTGTTCCCCATACTTGTATATCTAGTCCTATTTGCAAACAAGATAATTTATTTAGCAAGTACAAGAGCTCAGCAATTAACTTTACCATGTGTGTGAAAAAGTCATATGCAAACATCTCATAATTTCGTAGTCATCATGATTAAATTTTGTAGGTGTATCTTTAAGGGAGTTCACGACTGCTCCAATATCCTTTCACGTGGTCTTTCAAATAACGAGGCATGTAAAAGGTCCAATAGCCATTGGACAATTCTATCATGCCTAATGATCATATTCATCATATTCATGAATATTCATTAAAGGGGTCACACCTATCAAAAACCATCGACCTGTAGGTTTGAGATGCGCTGGCTTTAAGATAAATCTCGCCTCTATATTTGAAAAACAATTTGCATTTTAATGTTACAAAGAAAAAACGTATAAAAAACGTATGTTGATTTGGCATGTCATATGGATGTATATAAATAGTAATATGATGTCCAGTCACTGCGTTTGCAAGATCCTGTAACATTGGATGAATCAAGTGAGTCCGAAATTGCTTCGTTCTATGGAAAGCTGATGCAGTGTTGAATACATTTTTTGCGCTTTCAAAGTTAATAAACAGAAGATAAGATAATAAATAAATGGTATTATTTCTGCAAAAAAACAATATACTTACAACTACACGTAAAGACATTAGTTTCAAATCCCATTTCGAGACTGGTTTCATGGTGAAATTTGACGTTACAAAGACATTTTTATACTCAATTAATAAAAAAAAAAATAAATATAATAAAGGTCAATTTGCACTTACGGTGTCTAATAGCGCATTGAGGAGATATTTTCTACATTGGTTACAAATTAGAATTTGGATATTCAATGCTTCAATCATTTTGTTCAATCCATTCTGGTTTATGAACTTTTACACCAACACCTAAGCATGACAGACTATATACATATAAACGAACAAAATTGCACAAGTTAAATTGGAAGGCATGTTAGATCAAAAGGCATGAAGAGAAGAAACGATGAATATAAACTTATTGGGACTTGTATAGATTTTCAGGACCATGAATTACTTCCTTAATAGATAATGGTTTTGGACTCTGTACATTGAGCATTTCAAAGATCGTCAAGATCTGGCTCTGCATCCAATCTACTTCTTTTACGGAATATTCCTGTTGCTGTATCTTTCTTCAAATAAACAAACTACTTTCTTTTCTTTGTTCTAATGCATCGTCTGCTTCTTCTTCTTGTCTTAATTCATTGTCTTTTTCGTAAATTTTTGTTTTTTTCCATCATTATTATATTTTAAGTTGAAAGCAAGTATAACTACACTCATCATTTTCGTAAACTTGTTGACTCCATTTTTTTTTAATAAATATTTTTTAAAAAATTAATTTTCAATAATCAAATTGTAGTAGTTGAATAATTGAATAACTGATATAATTTTCATTTAATATGTAAAAAAACAATCATTATTATATATTAATAACCAACAATGAAGTAAATATTCAAGTTTTTTCATTTATAGCGCAATCGGATATTGATCCAGAATTAAAATATTACGATGTGATTAGTCCTACTCTAAGCCTAGAAACATATCATCAAATTCATCATCTTTAAATATTGTTAATTTTCAAACTAGGAAGTAAAAAAATAGTATTTTTTGGAAGTAGGAAGGTGATGTTGTGAAATGTCATTGTAAAACAAGGTGATTAAAGTGGAAATAAAAAATACAATGGGTTTTAGAAGATCGCTCTAATTCAAGTAGTCATATTTTTTTTATTGGAAATGTATTTTTCTACTTTATACCTATTTACTGCTGTTCGTAAAACGATTGTCAATTAATATTAAATAAACAATAACAAATAATTGTGAGAATCAATCATTTTGAACCAGAAGTTCGAAAATATGGTATGCAAAACTTATTATTATTATTATTTATTGTTTTTCTAGTAATATTAATTACCACATAAATAGAAATACAAAGCTATTAATTTTTTTTTTTTTTTTTTGTAAAAAAAAAATCATATAACTTATCATAAATACTATTTTGATATAAAATGTATTTTGAACACTTATTAACACCAGGCAGAGAAGAATTGGTATATAAAATTTATAATGAAATGTATTCTTGCAGTGTAGATGAAAAAAGTCATTTTTTACAATTAGTTGAAGAAAACAAGGAGCTGTTGGAAAATGAAAAAGAGTGTTGCAGAGAAAATTTTATTTATGTTTTTGAATATAATAATGCACTAGATAGATCAGGAGAACCAAGAGAATGTAAAGAGTGTAAAATGACAAGATACTCTGATAGATTTTGTGAAACGTGTATTTATCTTCATTTACAGAGTCTCTTTTGTACCTGGACATCTGGAAATGAAATAATTGATAATTTTATTCAAAAATGTCAAAAGCTTTCATCTCTTCCAACTCAAATTATGGAATGGATACCTTATGAGCAATTTAAAAAAATAAAAAAGTTGACAGAAGGTGGATTTAGCTCAATTTATACTGCTACATGGACAAGAGGATATATCTATGATTATGATGAAAATAAAAAAAAGTTTAGTTATTTGGGAGCTCATTATGTAATATTAAAATTATTAAATGACTCAAGTAATCCAGGAAAATCTTTTTTTGATGAGGTAATTGATCTTATTTAGAATAAATTAGATTAAACCATTTATTTTAAATTAATTGATTTTATTTATATAATTAATACAGGCATTGAATTATTGTAAAATTAAGTCAAATTTAATTGTTAATTGTTTTGGTATAACTAGATTCCCAGATAGTGGAAATTATGCAATA